ATTTTCCTGCGGGGCGTCGCCCTCGCCCGCGGTGGAGGGCGCGGCCCCAGGCGGAGGCGCTCGGCCCGCCCGCGGTGAACCCCGCGGCTGTCCCCGAGGCCGCCGGGGCCTTACTCTTGGTCGCGTAGGGTTTCACGGGGCAAGGGGACCACGTGCTGTCCCCCCGGGGGGGGGTGTCGGGCACGGGGCCTCGGGCAGGGTTCGGCTCGCCCCGAAGGTCTCCCCGGGCCGGCGTCGGACCGAAGCAGAACGTTGAGCCCCTCTGGTCTCTATACCCTTAGCTTTGGGATCTAACCTGTTCCGACTGCTGGTTCCAGCGGAATTGTTTTTAGAATTGTGACCCAAGTAACCCACCAACATTTGTTGAGGGCCTGCTGTGTGCCAGGTGCTGTGTGGGGAGCATCCCATTTCCTGTGAGCGAGTGACAGTCCGGGGGAGGAGCCAGACCCTAACCCCTAATCCCATAGATAAAGTACTCAAGTAATGACTGTACTGTAGAGAGGGAGAGCACCGTGTAAGGGATGGAACAGGATAGTCAGCGTCCCAATACCCAGCGCATTTCCCTCCCAGAAATTATTCTTACCTCGAAAAATGCGGTTTCGTTGTACAGGGACTCCCCTCCCTAATGGTTGTTAGTATTCTAAAACATTCTATTAGATTGTGACTTTAGAAGCTTATCAAAACATTTATTTTTAAAAATTAATTGATGTAATTTTTATTGATGTTAGAGAGGGAGAAACATCGATTTCGTTCCACTTATTTATGCATTCTTTGGTTGATTCTTTTTGTTTTAATCCCCGCTCGAGGATATGCTTTTATTGATTTTAGAGAGAGGAACCTTGATGTTTGGCCTGACCGGGGATCAAACCCTCAACCTAGGTTATGTGCTCTGACCGGAAACCAAACCCAAAACCTTTTGGTGTATCAGATGATGCTCCGACCAACTGAGCCACCTGGCCAGGGCCATTGGTTGATTCTTGTATGTGCCCTGACTAGGGATCCAACCTGCAACCCTGCCGTATCAGGATGGCTTTCTAATCAACTGGGAAATGCGCAGGGTCAAAACATTTTAATAAGTGGAAACTATCTTGTTGACTTCTTGGAGGCCTAGCTTTTAACTATTTGGCAATAAGTTGATATCTACCACTGCAGGTGCCTCTTAGGCATCAGAAACAAAATAGTTCCTATTTTTCCTCTATGCAATTTCTTTACTAAAAGGTAAAATTATTTTTTCAGGATCCAGGTGATGCGGCACAACAGGAAGCGAAACACAGGTATGGGCTAGAGATCTGAAGGGTGGTTTCACCAAATGGTTTTTTTGCTTTAGTTATTTTAATAGTGTGTTAAGTCCAAGTTTTTCCTGGAATAGTGATTTTTCATAAATCATCGGGTATCTGTTAATTTGTTAGTTAAATAAACGTGTAGGATCTCACAGCACTTACTACCTTGTTAGTACAACTACTGTTTGATGTTTGTTTCTCTGCTAAACTGCAGTTGCCTTAAAATGAGCATAATACTGGCATTACCTCATGGGGATGTTGTGAGGGCTACATAAGCAACCTCACAACACTCAATACCTTACATTTAATAAATGCTAGATAAATATTAACTGTTATACTGTTCTTATTTTATCCCAGCACATGGCAGGTGTGTTGAATGAATGGTTAGTTATCCCATCATGCTACCTTTTTTTCTGTGATAAAAGAACACGTAACATAAAATTTACTGTAATAACCATTTGTAAGTACAGTTCAGTCATGTTAACTATTCTCATTAGTGTGCACCAGATCTTGAACTTTTTCATCTTACAAAATTGAAACTATATATTCACTGAACAGCTCCCCATTTTCCCCTCCTTCCATCATGCTACTTTTTCACTTATTCAGCAAATATTTATTGATTACCTGCTCTAGGTCAGGTACCATGTTGACTCTATAGAAACAGAAAAGGCAGAGAAGGTTCCTGCCCATACATGGCTTGTTTTAGTGAGGGAAGAAAGTTGGTAAACACCTGGGATAGTGCTAAAAAGAAAATGAAACTATGTGAATTTCATTGATTCTAATATGTACCTTTTTTCACATTTTAACATATCTGAAATTGGGGTGGGTGTCATAATCAATCACTGTTGTCCTGGATTCTTCCAAAGAGGATTTACTTTTGCTTCTGCCATCACTTTGGTACTTTTCTAATCTGAGACATCTTAAAATTAAATTCTATGCTTGAGGTTCCCACCCCCTCTCTCCATCCTGGCAGTGTGAATTCAGACAGCAAACCAGCATGACTAAAGCTTGAAGTTCAAATTCTCAAAGGAACTTTTTTCTTCCTCCACTCAGGGCCAAGTTTGCTGCATGCATCCTTAGTTGCTGTCCCTTTCTGCATGGCAAGGTTATTTCTTCTTTACCTTGCATGTTGTCATTGCTCTTTGATGCCTGGCTTTGAGTGTGGGGTCTCCTGTTAGACTCCTCATCTAGGGTGTGTTTTGTTCTTATAAGTACACTATGGCCCATCTTACAATCAGTGGTATCTTAGATTCATTGAAATAGAGTAACAGTAGTTTACAGCAGGGTTGAATTGAAGTACTCGGGTGCAATAAGGAAATGGCCCATGAAAGTGGGCTTCCAGTTGTGTCCCATGAACCCTAGGGCTCCTCTGATGGGGGCAGACAGTGGGCACAGCCAGCCCCAGCTCCCGCTCAGTTCAGCCAAAGAATTTCTGCTTTTGTCTGTGTTGAGTATTAAGTTCCTTGAAGGACTCACTTAAAAAAATTTGCTGCTACTTAATGTTTGCAACCACTATCCTGTGAACATGAACTAGTTCCTACTTGGATAAGTAGGAGAGTGTAAGGATAGTTGCAGTTATAATTTCATTCCCTCTCCCCACCCAGAAAGTAGAACAGAATATTGAAACATGGGATTTGGTTCTAGCTTGGCTGCAATTACCTACATCCCCTTATAGCTTCCTTAGGTCTCAGCTTCTTCATGTCTTAAGATAATTACGTGGATTAATCACTTGGTCCTTTAATTGCCAGAAATCTCACTACAAATTTCTAACACCTCTCACACACTAAATACTTAATAAATGGTAATGGTGGTTGAACTGAAACTCCACCATGAATTATGAAAGTGTAGTTTTCCCTTTCAATTTGGTAGGTTTACACCCACATCAATATAAAGCTGGCTTTTGAGGGCAAGAGTGAACTCTTCTGTAATAATAGGTGCTGCCATCCACACAGCACCTACTATAGGGCAGGTTGTGTGTGTAGGAACCTATTTTAGGAAACGTATTAAGTGAGTTACATTTTCGTGTGTTCAATAGGAATGCTGACAGCTTAGTTCTAATTTTGCTTGACCTGTTTTTGTTGTAGAGAAGCAGAAATGAGAAACAGCATCTTAGCCCAAGTTCTGGATCAGTCAGCCCGGGCCCGGTGTAAGCATCTTCAGTTTCTTTTAAGCTATTTCCATAAAATTGGCATGGTTTAGTTGAATGGGGAGATATGAAATTATTGCTATCTCTAGGTTAAATATTTATTTAACCTTTAAACACTTAAAATACAGCTCTTTGTAAGAAATGTGGTTTGTAAGCCTAAAGAAATGGACTTAAATTATTAAATATACCAGCTTGGTTCTTTCCTATCAGGGAGATAGTCTCCCGAATGCTTATTAGGTAAAATTTATAGGCAACAAGTCTTAAGTCAATTACAGAGTGTTGCTGGTAGTTGACATATGTGATAAGAGCTTGAGGGGTTTGTTTATTTATTTATTTTTATTTGTTGTTTTTTTTTTAATTTAATTTTTTCCATCACCATTTATCCCTCTATGGCTTGAGGGATTTATTGTATTTTCCATTTTTAGTTCATAACTTTTTGTGACGAAAACCAACAAAAAAATGTAGAAAAAAATTAAATGAGCCAATTGGAATGAACTAGTATCTTCTGTATTGTAATTTGAAGTCCAACTTAGAAGAGGCAGCCATAGATGGATACTATGATTATATATGTAGTAGTGTATAATTTATTTTCCAGAGGCAATCGTACATATTTTTTAAAAAGCATGGCGCTTAGACTCTGAGGACCTAAGTTTAGTCTTGGCTCTGCCACTACTTCTGTGTGGCCTTGACTGAGATTGACATGGCTGAACTTTAGTTTCCTCATTTTAAGAGGGTAACAGTACTTTCTGCCATCCATACTTTGATAGTCTCAAGACATAAATAATTCTGTGAAGTGCTTTGGAAATGTTGGTGCTTAGTTTTAAGTTATAAATAAGTGCATTTAGTTTTGACGTCCTTTTTTCTTCTTTCTTTTTTAAGTAAGTAATTTAGCACTTGTAAAGCCGGAAAAAACTAAAGGAGTAGAGAATTACCTTATACAGATGGCAAGATACGGACAACTAAATGGAAAGGTAAGCTAAGACAGCCTTGAGGCAGTTATACCTGTCATTACCTACTTTATCAAAACATGTTTTCCAATAGGTCAATTTCACCCTGGCCAGGTAGCTCAGTTGGTTAGTGTCGTCCCTATACAATAAAGTTGTGGGTTTGATCCCTAGTCAGGGCACATACAAGAATCAACCAGTGAATACATAAGTAGGACAAGTTGATGTTTCCCTCCCTCCCTCCCTCCCTCCCCTCCTCTCTAAAAAATCAAAAAAGGTCAATTTCACCATC